GCAAATGCCCAAATGGACATACCTTCTATACCAGTAGACTCATGGAAAGACATGCATGTGCATTTCTCACTGGTGTTTGCTGTTGGCTTTCTCAGCCCCATTTTGCATAGTTTCCTCTGGAGTTGTGTGTATCTGGGTGAGTAGGACAGCCTGGTCCTGCTTGCTGGGGAAAAGGCAATAGATTTTTCCCGAGATGCCTTTTGTTGTCCCCACAGCGAGGGCAGCCAAAGCGATGACAGGGAGGTAGAAGCTGATAACATCTTGGCATACCCACCCGGCTTGTAAATCTGTTTTTTCACCAGCACAGACCAGTGGGTAGCAGGTGCTTTACCAGGGCAGGAGGTCTACAGAAAGACCACGTGACATAAACCACTCCGAAACCTCTAACAAACGCTAGACTTTGTCCTTTGCAGACTCCTGACGTTGGCAGCAGAGCAGGAGCTGAGAGCAGCAGCACGGTGCCAGCAGTGGCGAGGAAGGAAATGACACCTCTGCTATCGGGCTGAGTGACAGGCATCTGATTTCAAATTACCTGGTGAACTGGGGGATGATGCGGCCTCTTTCCAGCATTCCCTTACTTCCTAACACTGGTGGTCTTCTTGAGAGCATCAGGCTAAGCAAGAAGGGCAGAGACATCTTTCACTGGGCACAACACCCCACCCCCCTGCCTGCGCAGGAGCGTCCTGGCAAGCACCGAAGCCAGAAGCTCGTGCCATCCACAAACTCACAGCTGGGGTTCAGCAGGTTTCAGGGCAGACCCAGGGGCAGAAGGACTGTTCCAGCAACCCCTTTGTGTGGACGACCCTGTCTTTCCTGGGAGGGAACGGGGAAGAGGTGCACCCTCTGGCATTCAGCTCTCTTCTGGGCAATGAGGAAGGTGGGTTTTAGCTCTTCGAGCTCTTCTTGTGGTCGGTTCCCATCTCCTCCAAGGCAACTGGGGGGAAAATCTCTAGTGCTCCCATTGGAGTGCACAGACACTGTGCTTCCCACCTCCTCTGCCGTCAGCAACCATGGGAGTGAAAAACAAAGCTGGCCTTCTGCCTCTGGCTCATTTGCAGTCTATTGAAACATTAATTAATCTTCATGCCATTAAGGATGGAGGGAGAAAGTGAGTTACTTCAACCTGCAATTAGCGCGCGATGCAGCTTGAGCAATGGCAGGGTAATCCTCGGGGAGGGGAAGTTTGGGAGGAGGAGGTGTAGGACATGGGGCTCTGCTTGGTGCTGAGAGGCAGTTTTAGGGAGGCATGTCCAGGGCTGTTCCCAGGGCACCCTTCCAGGCTGTGTGAGCACCCAGGTTGTGCAGGAGCAGGGACCTGCCCATGCCCTGGCCCCTGCCGGGGGAGTTAACCCCCAGGGGATGTGGCAGAGAGGCAGTAAAGTGCCCAGCATCACTCTCCATCCAGGCTGGACAGGATTTGCCTGAGCAATGGAGAAACTATTTGCAAACTCCAGCATCTCTATCTGCACTTTAACACTGTGGTGGCCTCATTTTCAGATGGATCCTTCGATGGCAACTGCTCCCTTGCTCTGGGCTAAACCCTGGCGAGTGGCTGCATGATCAGGGGTAAGAAGTTAAAGCCACCTCTATCATCATCAGGTTTTGCGGGATGTTTTCATCGTCACTAAGCCAAGTACGATCGTGTACAGAGCGCGGCTCTGTGAGCCCCTGAAGAGCTGCCCTGGGAGGAAAAAAGCCATCACAACCCAAAACTATTTTTCTCCCTCTAGCAGGCACCATGTGTACAACAGCAGAGGTTGCGTAGTAACGGCAGCAGGAAGGCGTCAGCTCTACCCTCCTCGCTCCCCACAGAGCGCCGAGAAGAGCGAGGTACGTATCGGCAGCAAAACCGGGCTCTTAAACTCCCTAAACTTTCCCTTCTGCTTACCGGGGAGGAGCACATAGCGATCTTAAAGCCATTCATCACAGAGGCTGCTTTGTAGTAATGGCTGGTTGTGCTTACTTGAACTGTTGGGTGAGCCGGGGGGTGGGATGTTTGTAGGAAGAAGAAATAGGGGGAGATGCTAAGATTTTGGGGGGAAGGAAGGGAGGCAACTCAGTATGTTGCCTAAAAAGCTCTCAACACTTCAAAGCCTCTCTTTGCTCTGTCTTGTGAAAGTCTGAACGAGCTTTTACTGGGGCTAAAAGTACAGGGAAACAATAGGGAGACTGGGAGTAGCCAGCAGCCGGAGGAGGAAGCGAGCTGGGCGATGACGAATGCTTTCCAGCCCCGTCAGGCGCTGGCACCCTTGCTCTTGCCGTGGGAGGTGTGTGCGGGCAAGCCACTGGGTGCTGGTGTCGGGGAGAGCCCAGGGACCGCAACAGTCATCACAGCAGCAAAACTCTGAGGCACCCGTCCTCCATTGCTCTCGTGGCTTCATTTCAAACAGCTTAGAGGAGAGGCCTTTGTGCCGATGAGGCGCAGCTCATCTGCTCGTCAACGTGTTGCACTAATGAGGGAGACAGAATACGAGAGATGCGTCATAGACAGGCCTGGTGAAAGGGATGGAGAGGGGGGACATAGAGGCCCTCCATGCTGGCCCCTCTACACAGCCAGATGGCAAATTGGAGGTCAGAGAGGCCACTGAGGAACGGGTATTCTTGTTGTCGTTCCCAGTTCAAACAGTTCCCAGTTCCAACGTCCCTAGGGAAGGACAAGGCGGGGTCCTGTCTCCCCTAGCCAAGAGCCCCCCATGGTGCCTCTCCCCTGGGTGACCTGTGTGCATCGTCATCGTGCTCTGGGTCCCAGCACGGGGACCTCCCAGCCTGGGTGGGACCTTCCCATTTCACATTTGATCCTCCCATCCCCTGCTCATCCCCTCGCTACAGGGATTTTCCTTCCTCCTGTCTTGTTTCTTGTGTATCCCAGTGCTCCCACTCTGGGGCGGAGACAGGGGTGGATGGGAAAAAGGAGCAACAGGGGAGGGGGGAAAAGAGAAAGGGAGGAAAAAGAGGAGGAAAAGAAGGAAGTGGCAGAGAAGATGAAAAAGAGTGAAGAAATAGGGAAAGAGGAGGGAAAGGGGAAAAAAGGAGGGCGTAATGGTGGAAAAGGAACAAAAGAGGGAATGGGAAAGAAGGAAGAAGGAGGAGAAGGAGAGGAAAAGAGGGAAGTGGGGAGAGCACAGGAAAAAGATGAAAGGAAGGGAGAAAGAGGGGAGTAAAGGGAAGAAAGAGGGAAGGGGAGGAAGGAGAAAATAGAGGGGAAATAGTAGAAAAGAAGGGAAGAAAAAGGAGGAAGTGGGGAAAGCACAGGAAAAAGAGAAGAAGGGAAGGTGAGAAGGTGAACAGAGGAAAATGATGGAAGTGAGGAAAACAAGGGAAAAGAGGGAAGGAAGAGGATATGAAGGAAATAGATGAAGAAGGGGGAGAGGGAAAAGAAAGGAGGAAAAAGGAGGGGAAAGAGGGAAGCAGGGAGAAGTCAGGAAAAAGGGAAGAAAGGGAAAGGTAAGAAGGAGGAAAGCGAAGGAAAAGGGCGAGGAGTGGCAGGGAGGGCAGGAAACAAAGGGAAGGGGGGAGGGAGGGAAAAGAGGAAGAAAAGGGG